TTTGTTGATTGTGCGTGCAGTGAAAGCTCGGTAGCAGTAAAAATGAGACAAATGTATTTTTAGTTGTTTTAAAGATTTTTAAAGAAAGAAAATGAAAATGTAAAAGGAAAATTTCTACGGGTGCGGGAGTCGGTGCTGACAGAGCACATTTGTGTAATTTTGGGAATTTATGAAAGGAAGATTGGTTTACAAAGCACAATGGATCTGTCAACGTTTTCTTGATCGCCTTGAGTCGCAATCGGGCATGATACACGGGGGTTGGTGCCGGATAGTGAAGAGCACAAAGGCAAGAGCACAACATGAGTCGTTTACCTCATGTTCCGCGAAACACACGAGGCTTGAGTCAGAGCCATCATTCTTCGGCCCACTCTGGCTCCACAGCCTTCGCCACTCTGCGCTTGGGTTGTGCGCGAGCTCGTTTCTTGGTTGGCTGCGCAGGTTCCTGAGCAGCTGGCGCCATTGAACCGGATTGTCCAGAGCCTGAGGAATAGGATGACGGTAATTGAGCTGATGGGGGAAACGGGATGGTGGGACTGGACTCGGATACAGTCATTGGGGACTTGAAAGGCGTCGATACGCCACGAGGCTTGAATCTGTCAAGATCATAACGCCTCAGTACGATCCAAGAAAGAGAGTTGGAGAAGGCTACAACACGTACTTCACAATTTTGGGGCGACCATTGGGTTCAGTCGAAGTCTCCCCTTTGACGACTCTCGCACGTGGGGCTTTCTCGACATGGCCGGATGTTGGTGCCACCTTATTAACCTGTAAGCCTTGGTGCATCAGCAGCGCACAAAATCGACCTAAAGATGCACACTTACTATGACGATGTAACGACTGGTCTCTTCATTAAAGTCCTTGATGTAGCCGTGAAACTGGCACTCGCGGCCTTCCTTCACTACTTGAGGTGACCCAGAGAGATGTTTGAAAGGCGGAATACGATACTCAAGGGTAATCTCTTTTGCCAACTTAGTCTGTTGAGAACAGGAATCAGAGACTATGGAGCATGCGTCCAGGCTAATAATGATGACGATTTTACTTACATCTGGGTGGAAATCACAGTGTTGGACGATTGCGTACAAACTGATCTTGTCGGGGTCAGAGGTTCTTTGCTTGAGGTATTGCATGGAGTCTTCAACGACAAAAGTAACGTTAAGGACACGACCAATACCAGTAATCCCAATCTTGTCGGCCAAGCTGTCTGAGAAGTTGCCGGGGGTTCCGAGGCAAAGTCTGTCGGAACCTTCAAAAAAAAACTCATCTTTATAGGTCTCTTCGGTATTGGTTGGGAAGAATGAACCCCGTAAGAAGTACAGTTTGTTAGGCTCGAGCTTGAGAGCTTCATTGCTGAAGCCAGTTGCACGAATCTCGTAGTGAAGATCCTGTTTGCGATTCGCGCCTGCGCACCCAATCAAAACGGAGTAGCTACGAAATTCGACCTTGAAGTGGCGATCTTCAGACAACTACTCAAAGGGGAGGGAGCAGACAAAGACGTGATTGGGTTGGGCCAGAACGGTGAAACAAAAGGCAGGAATGAAAGTACTTGTTCTTCAACTTCGAAAATTCCAGACATGTAGAGACCGTGGCCGGTGCAAGGATTGGGTTCAGACATGTCGTAGATGGATCCGTGATTCTTTACCAGCGTTTCATAAATGATTCGGTTTGAGAATGCACAGTGAGATGTTGAAATCTACGCATTACAGAAGAGTGGCAAGAGAACAGAAAGGTCATGGAACACACCCAGTTACGAATCGATCCTGGTGGTCCTGGAATGATGCTGAGATTGAGGAATAGAATGGGGGCCGGGAGCGTGGGCCCCTTTATATCATTTGAGGACGCGATACCATTTGGTACGGGGCACGCTTCATCATCATCATGAGACAAATGAGTGGGATCTCTCTGCAAGCATTGAAATTGAAGGATCACGCGATGATGGTTTGTGACGTCGTACCGAAACATCGTGAACCGATTCCCCCCGCTCGCAAAGTTCCACGCAGATATTTTGAAGTAACGATAACGATAATCGAAGTGATATGAGGGTATGAGCACAACTCGGATGCACTATTACTCGATAGGCGCTGGGGATAAAAGGAGCAACACCTCGTCAATTGATGTGATCAGCAATCGAGATTTCATGATACAGGCCACACGAAGAACAAAGGTTCATGAAAGTGCCAAACGACCTACCACGAATCAGCCACGGAAACATTTTCTGGCTCTCTGATCTCTTGCGGCTGAGCCTGAAAAGAGCATTGTGACCCAAATGCATATTCGGATGGATTGGCATTTGGTGAATGCTGTGTGATGCACAAAGATCGAAGCGAAGACGACGTCTGCGCCGAGTCTAGGGTTGGTGCAAATGGTGAGCAAGGGGCAGCGAACACTCGCGGGTCGGCCGTTTGAAACCTCGCGCCAGGAATGGTCCCGAGAAACGATGGGAAAGCATCTGAGGGTACCCGACGTGTGAGTACGATGGTGGAGCCGGCCTACTGAGAAGGTGTTGCTGAGAGGAAAGCAAAATTCGTGGATACGCATGGCTTTGAACAAGAAGGTCGGAGAATCATGTGTATTGCGTGTATATCACTGTTTAATTTGGGTGGGTATCGAACTTGATCCACTGTCAAGTCGGTGAAATGAGCTATATCTTTGATAAAGAGATAAATTGTCTTGTGAAAACAAAAGGATGCCAATAAACCGAAGTTGGAGGCCTCTGCGTGTGATCAACACAAACAATGGTGAGCTGTCAGCGATGTAGATGGATCGCAATCCAGAAGATTCAAAAGCCCAAGGATGCTATATAACCGGGGCTCGTAAGGGAGCACCATTTGCCTCAAGTTCTCCCAAGAACACATTGCTCGTCTTGAAAGACATGGCGCACCCAGTGGCTCATCGAGTGATCATGTACTCTGTGCTCAAGGTGGGCAAAATAGTGAGTGTCAATGCTCTGACCATTCTTTTATTGCATCAGAGCCAAACCGTGTTTCTTTTAGGTACCGCAGTTCAGTCTTACCCGTCTCTGCAGCTTGCCGGAGGCTGAAACAACTCTTAATACTACTATTGACGGAGTCACTTTCTATGAATGCCCCTTATCACTCCTACCTGATAGATCGGCTCGCTTCTTCGTGGATCACCCGGGATTTTTCAATCTTGCCGGACGCTTTCTGCCCCTCAATGATCACGCTCAGCCCATTTTGTATTATGATGTGCACTCGGCTGGAGAAGTGTATGATTCTTTCATCGTACGAAGCAAGGAACCTAGGCGAGCTTGTGTGTCCTCCATAGGGACCATAGTTGGCCTTTATGACTTCTTGCATAACAATCGTGTCAAGACCAAGGTCGTGCTGCGACATACTGATTATAGTCACTTGGTGAGCACACCCAATTGACCTAAAGATAGTGATCCTGACTGAGCATGTTTTGAACAGGATCACGCTTATCGGACCTTTGAGCTTGAGTATCTATTCAATTGGGTCAGGGTCACTGGAGGTCAACAAAGCGAACTGTCCATTGATATGGTAATCGAGGTCTCGGGTCAGTTCTGTGGGTACAATCAGCAAGCCCAGATGTGGCGCGTCATGGTGCGTTTTTGTCCTAGGTGACGTTTGGTGTTAATTACATGACTGATTCACTCTGATCCGCTGGGCCGTTTGCTGTGTAGGCGCGCAACCTAGACACAGGCCCACAGCAGAACGTGAACAGTGTTGATTAGGATAATGAAAAAGCAGAGATGTTCATGTGCATGCGGGAGCGATTATTGTTTTGTTCATTTCCTGTGCAAAGCAACTTTATCATTGGGTAGTCTGTCTAAGGCAATAACATGAGGCGATTGTTTGGACTCGTCTGTGTCGATACCGTCAGCAGGGTACTACGTCATAATTCACAAGTGAGCGGACACTCCCGAGCAATCAGGACGGGTGATGGCGCGAGAAACCAAGTGAATGGTGTTCACTTGAGGATAAGGTCTTTGCGAGAGATAACGACGCTTAGATCATGGGCATTAATCATCCGCGGAATGGACTCTGTTCATGGGCTGCCTGGCCTGGAGCGGTGGCATGGGTCAATGCGAAACTTGTGAGCACCAGAGGGAGGGGTGGCGAGTTTGAGGCGACAATGCTTGTCAATTTAAATCATGAAGCAGGGTTGTTGCCTCGTGGGTGGTTGGGAGCAGGGTGTATCGTGACTTCAATCACTTCGGGTGATTGGCGGTAAGGATCAAGGACTGGCAGATGGACAATGGTCAACGCTTGAGGACCTTTGGTCTGGTAGCACTCGCATGCAAGGGTGCCAGTGCCGTCGCAGTCATACAAAAGCTCCATACTACTACATCGTTATTACTGCATGCGAGTATCCTTATCCAAAACGCACCCACAGGTAGGAACAGATCAACTCTGCCTGTCAGCCTCCTTGTATTGATACCTCGACCTTTGACTTCACCTGTTCTCTTCCTATCCAGATTGTTCCAATATGCCGGGTATACAACGTCACTCTGAAAACTCTGAGGAGCCGGTTGAGCTTGCTTTCTTGCAACTCGTGGCCAAGCAATTCCAGTCTCGTACGCCATTATTCCTTTCTGATAGCACTCTGTCCCGATAATAACGTTGTGTGTTTCCCAGCGACTGAGGGACCAATTAAGCTCCAGTACCCGGACGGACGCAAGGAGTCCGTTCATAGGTTTGGTACCATAGCATACCGCGTCGTAGATCATGACACTGCGAGCCCAAAGTGTCTCTTCACGCACTTTTCTTTTTGTGCTAATTCATCGGACGAAGGTTTGTTCACTCCCTCCTCACTCACATTTACCAGTGTTGACTCGTGCTCGGTTTTTTAGGGCGAAGTGTATTGACCCTGCAAATGGTTGAGTCACCGAGCTGTCAAAGGGATTTCCCTGTGCGCGTACATATCATAGATGAGATGTTTGTCACCCCAGATGCTGTTCAAATGGTGTGCGAGTTGTTTGGTCTCCAACACAATCCGAAGTAGTCGTCTTGATGTTGTATGTCGTGTTGCCCATACTTTCACTTAGAGGTCTTTTCATCGACGGATGCAACCCTTAAAGCAGCACACTACCGTGTATCAAACTTGTTCCTTCAAGTTTTCCACTCCTTGAAATGTGATATCATGTCAAGGTGGGTTTTTGGAGGACACCGTTGACATTGTGATTGACGCCCCTGATTGAGAGCAAGCTCGAGAATACCTAATGTCGTTTTTGGCGCAAGGCGCGACAATTCTGGTAGAATCTGAAAAATAAGAATTTTGCAGAGGGTGACAGCACCCTGAGCATGGATAGTGGACGCCCGCTGGATGAACAGCCTTTGTGCGCCACCTCGCACGTTGCAGTTCTTGTTGGCAAATCGCCAGAATAAGACAATCCTGAGACACGCAGAAACTCTAACATATAGTGACTCAGTGTGGGCGCCATCTGTAAGGACCATGACTATGTGACCATGAATTAGGCCCAAAGGGAAACACAGGTGATGCATCTTGGCTCAAGCGCTGTGGGTTGTTTGTAAAGCAGAATGTGTGGCCTCGCCGAGTTCAAGCTCGATTTGTTTGTTACGCATTGGTACAAAGTAGGTTTTGGGGTCACAAAGCAAGAACGTGGAGCTTATGGAGAAACGGAAAACAAAAGCTGATGCAGAAAGTTGGTCATATGGACAGATTGTCAAGATTTTGTGTCAACCGCCACGGTTTAAACAATTCTGTGCTCATGGGGCAATGGACAAAATGACCGCGGATCAATTTTGGGGCCGAGGAAAAACTGCCTGAGGGAAAAAAATTCAGTGGGGTGCGATGAATCAAGGTAACAATCCTCGTGCACCAATACTGTTGTGTCCTCACACTTAAAATCAAGCAGTTCCTACGGAGGGCACGGGCAGCAAGTTGAACCATCAGTGGTTTTCAAGGGGACCGACGACGCCATTGGTAGCGGGTGTCTTGATAGTTAAGCTACGTCCCCGCTTTTTAGACCGATGTCCTGTGACAGAACAGGATGATGGTTCGGTTGATGACACGAATGCACTGGAAGGTGATGACATATTGGTAGAAGAGCCACTAAGTGGGGGACCAAAACGTTCCCGCGCAGGGGTATCGTGAAGAACGGATACCGGCTTTGGGCAATGCTGGATGGTGCTGGTCATACACAAACCGAAGAGTAAGCGTGCATGCGGTGAAAGTGAGGATAATGACTGATGTACCTGACTGTCTGTTTGCGGAGATGCGCAATAGGCATGCCGTCCGACGCAGTTGGTTGAATTCAAGGACATGACTCCGCCCGCCTACCAATAACATCAAACTGATTCGCCTGCATAAAGAGCAAAGTATTTGTGAATCATATGGAAATGAAAAAACACTTGCGGGCTCACGATCACAACATAACAGTTAGTGAACTCATTGAAGTCCTTGATGTAACCATGGAATTGGCATTCAGTTCCCACATGGATGACCTCATGACAATGAGCAAGATGCTCCAGAGGTGGGATACGGTATTCCACAACCATTGATGCTACCCTGCCGGTCTGTAAGTGCAGTCAGCAATTGGCTAAAAACGGTGGAGTATGAATGATTACAGACCTTGGGATGTTGGTCGCGGTGTTGGACTGAAACATGAAGAGCAAATTTTTTGGGGGCAGTATAGTCGGGCTCAAGGTATTGTACAGGGGATTCAATGAACCGTTTGACTGAAAGAACCCGACCAATACCAGTGAGCCCTACACCGTCGGCAAGGCTATTCGCAAAGGTAGCGTGGTCGGCAATCCCCACAGAATCAGAGCCTTCGAAGAAAAATTCGTCGGCTTCTGTGGGTGTCGTGTTGGTTGGGAAGAACGGCCCACGCAGGAAATAGATACGATGCGGTTGGAGTTTGAAGGTACTGTCGCGGCGAGCCGTTGCACGGATATCGTAGAGGTCGAAGTTGTCGCGGTCAGCACCGTTGAGACTGATTCACGATGAATACGATTGGAAATCCGGGTGATCGTCATGCTCCGATCGCACCTGAATGGAGTAATTATGCTCAGCGCTTTGTAAGCTTAGAGGATGAAGGAGATAGCTCACATTGCTTTCGATCTGAAACATTGCGAGATAGGTAGGGGCGTGACACATGCTGAGTTTCGTGTTCTTTATGTGTCTAGAAGATGAAAAGGGGACTCACTTGGCCCTCGATCTGAAAATTGCCAGAGAAATAGAGGCCATGGCCGATAGGATCGGCCGGTTCGGACATGAGGATCACTGCAGAAACAATGGTAAACAAGCGAACGGAGGTAAAGTGGCTGTCAGGAAGGAGGTGTATCGCAGAGACCAAAGGAATGGCCGGGATAGGAAACCAGGGGAGGATGAAAGTAACATGAGGTACAAACCTGCGGCGGTACAATAGGGAAGAAGGAACTGAGAATTGTACTTTTGTGTTCGTTTGTTCAGGTGCTGGGGGCGGTTTTTATAAAGAGGAGGAATGGTGGTTCAATAGAGTTGCAGGCTGACAATCGATGATCAGGTGAACCGGAAACAATCACAGTAAGTGTGAAGGCAGGCAGACAAACCGGTGGCGACTCGACTATCGAGGCGAGGGCCATGATTAAGTTTGGGGACGGGAAATTTGGTGTAGTGTATCGAGGGGCGATTCCAGGATGAAGCATTTTAGAGGCGGTAGCCAAACGATCGGGTAAGTGCCAGGAGTGCCAGGGTGTCGGGAGAGTCGTAAGGTCACCGGGTTGGGTGTCAATGTGTTGGTGTTGAGATAAAGGAAGATGTAGGCAGTGGAATTGATTGGTGGCAAGGTAAAGTGACCGAATTGGTTGCAACCTTCAAGTACGGTGAGGGGGTACGAAGAGCGAGATGGTTCGTTGAATGACGTTGTTGAGTATCAATTGCACTGGGGGGGCCGCGATTTGAGTGATCGTGATGAAGTCCATCACCTTGGGCCGCTGAGGTGAGGAACCATGATCGGTAGATAGATAGATAGGGATGGGGGGTGGTAAAACGCGTGGAAGGGGGTGACGGGTTAGGACGCGTAAACTCTCAATTTGGAATAGGGATTGGAGGTTTAATTGGGTTTTGTCGAGTTTTGCCGCCGAACGCGGTTGACCCTTAAGTTGAATGAAAGTACCCCGCGGCACCTCTGAATACTCAGAGTCTAAAGTGCTGCAGGCTCCAGAGTTGTAAGATCAACCAGAGCTCTGAGTAAGATCCTTAGAGGGATTACTCAGCCATCCCACTGGCATCAAATCCTCTCTTTAGAGGTCAACTAACTGCAGTCTTCACTTGGGTGTACCAGTGAAGACTTCTTCCTAGTCCTTATACACTTCTTTTTAGTGAAGAGTCAGCCAGAAAGTAGCTGATCCCTCACAATTTGGGGGCCTCATCCGGTTTTTGTTCCTACAGACCTTGTTCTGTCCATTCCTCATTTTTTTTTTTATTTTTTTACTCTACTTCCATTTTATATAACAAAATTAAGAAATATAAAAAAAATCTATCCCTTTTTTTTCAATTTTAGAATTTTCTCTTTTCCTAATTTTTGAGATCACAGTTGATTGAGATCACAAGTATTTACCAACTTTTATTTCAAATTGTAATTGAAATAATCAAAATTCTTCTTTAGAGGAAACTACTCAATTACCTTCCAAGACACCTCATTTTGTGATTTAATTGAAATCAATCAGTGGGATACTTATTTACACACTGAGAAAAGAAAATCAACAAGCCATTACATACATATATAGCATCTTTTATACTACTTTGTCTTTTAGAAATTGTGCTACATATATATTACAGTCTGTGTGCAGTAGTAATTCCCCATTTTGTTGAATTACTTGTCCAATATAGTAGACAGAGCACGTGTGGAGTTTATTACAGCGTGTCAAGGAAGTGTAGTGTAATTTACATACCCCTTGGAATTCCATTCTCAGAGAATTCAGGATTCGAGATAGCAACTTTTACATAAGCAAATCAGCTTTGTAACAGAGTCAAGTGTCAACTGCTGACAGTTTTGACTCACGAGTTACTCTCTTCAGCCACCCCTAGACAGAGACCTGCCACAAACATTGACATCTCAACGATTGACACACAGGGTGACTCCTCCGTTATCGGACATACGTAGCATTGGATTGTATACCATCAAGATATCGAACAATAACGCTACACCGACTAATCAAAGACGGGGTGGAATTTTGTCTCCCATCCTTGATAAGATTTCGAACAACAAAGCGTAGCAGATTTAAAAGACAAGTAACATAGTAAGAATACAATTCTCAATTCCATTTAGTCTTATCATTTTTCTTCTCTCATTATTGAAGAAGCCATTGACATCATTATTATTTTTTAACTTCTTTATTGTAGTGACCTTTTACTCGTTCTGGAAGTTTCCAGACGAGGACACCCTAAAATCCGCACTGAGAAGACACCTACAAAGATAAAAACCCGATCAGTTTCACCTTCAACGATTCCTTCCTCAGACGATTTCAGCTTTTTAATCGTACTAAGGCAATCAATTTTTCATCACTTGTTAGATTTCTTACTACTAGTTCTGTTTAACAGTCAAGCAAATTGTTATACTGAATTTTGTTTATCTTTATTGTTTTTGTTTTTTGATCGTTGCATTATCTTAGATTGTGATCGAACGATACAAGCCACTAATCGAAAACTACCATCACTTATAAAAGTCAGTAGTTGTTCAATCTTGTCTCACAGTCATCTCTCTCAAGTTTTAATTTTTTCTGAGTTTTGAATCTCATTCTTCATATTTTGCTTTATTCTGTTATTTTCATACTTTTAAGTGGATCCTTTAGAATTGAACGAAAGATCTTCGTTTCAAGACCTCGCTAATCGTATCCACGACGTCGCCAGCGAAGTGGGGACCTATTCACCTTGCAGTACCCCAGCAATCAACGGAACGATCGCTTCCATAGACGGGCAATCTGTTGTCTCGGAGACCACACCTCTGCCACCTCGATTTCAACCAGAAGCGACTGAAACCCCGACACCATTGGGTAATATACTTGATTATATACAAGACCCAGGTTAGTCATATTGCTTAAAAGTTTCAAATACTATTGTTCACACAACTTTTTCTTTATTTAAAAGACCAGATCGAAGCAGTCAACCATTTAGAAAACCAAAGTGAGCATTGGTTTCTTTTTAATACCATATCTGGCTTGTTAGTTTTGATTTATTTTGATTAAAATCATTCTTCTACCATGTCCGATCGCCCTCAAACTCGCAGTGAATCGCGAAAACGAGCAAACAACCCAAATGCAGGTACCAAACGCCCCAGAGATCCCACCCGAGCGAGTGAACCAATCAGTCGAGGTTCAACCGATGGCGGTAGAACCAGCGAACGTGGTAGGTCAGCCACCCGAGGTAAGAAAAGGACCCCTCTCACCTCAACTCCAATACGAGAGGGTACTAACTACCCTTTTGTAGGGCGTACCGACCGCGCCAGCGCTCCAACCACCGGTTCAGTTGGATCCAGAGGTATCGAACCTCTGGACTTCCCTCCGCACCCAGTATCTGAGATGGGAGGGGGCGAAGGCGATGGATCGAGCCTTACCCGACGCGAAGAGAATCTGGAAAGATTCAGTCTTCAAGGCTCGTCAGGCTTGGAGAGACTTGGTATTCAAATACCATTACTCGGACGAGGTCGTAGTCCAGGAGGTAGGCAAGTGGCTCAGACCTGGGACCCAGCAATGGAGACCTCTATGGATCAATCCGTTCGAGTTCAGGGAACTGACCGACAAAGAGATCCAGCGATATCAACCTCATCAGCACAATCGTTCTCAGCTCAACAAGAAGAAACGATCCGACAATCGTTCCAACCATTGGGAGAACGACCGCAAGAAGAGATCATCGATCTCAAACTCCGAAGCGGTCTTGAAAGCCCAGACCGCGATGAGTCATTATCTGATCCGACAGGAGACCCGAGCTCGATTCAACCACAACTGACTCTCGAAGATGAGAGACTAGTGAGTATATTTCGTTCGATTCTTGATCAAGACCTGGTACAGACATGGACTGATAGAATCGATTTTGCTATTCAACCAGTAGTGCATAGGTCTACTAAGGATAAAGAGTACATTGCTTATTTTACTGAATGTGTTAAGAAGGTACATGAGAATGTCAAAGTAGTCCATAGTAAAGTAGCTTATGGTTTGAATAATTACAATTCTATTTTATCTGATCTTGTTCATCATCTTGAAATACAACACCAAGGATTAGTTAGTGAGAACCAGAATTGTCACAGTGAGTTGATTGATTTATTAGACATCAAAAAAATTCCTTTAGACAAGGAATCTTTAAGAGAGATGAGTGAGTTAGTGAGTGATAAAGTGAGGACATTACTCGAGAACAAAATTGAGTCTACATTACAAGATAAAAATCTGAGTACCAAACAAGACTCCAACAATTTTGAAAAATTTGAAAAATTGCTTGAAACAAAACTTGATCAACAATTTGATCACCTTTTAGAAAAAGTAAGCAATAAAGTAGAAATCTTACTTGAAGAAAAAATTGAGTCTTCTTTCAAAAATAATAATGTCTTGAGTTTAAAACAAGAATCTGGCAATTATGAAAAATTGTTAGAGATAAAACTAGATGAATTTCTGGATCAACTTAGTACTAAATTAGAAGGAGGTATTACAAATAAGGATCTGCTTGAACAACAATTACAAGCAGAGAAAATTTTACATTCTAGATTGGATCATCTAGAAAAATACCTCAAGGAAATGGATCACGAAGGTAGAATTCAAAGGGAAAAGATTTTATCTGAAGTTCTACAGATCAAAGGATCCATCACCACAGGTTTGTGTGTGGAAAAAATACAACCTGAAGTAGTAAAGCCACTGCCTCTTAGGGACTTTGGAAGAGAAAGCCTCTTAAGAAAAGACACTGAAATGACTGTTTCACCAGCACCTGGGAAAAATCCTGAGGATGTGAGAAACTTACTCAGTGATCTTAAGGAACAGATTGCAGCCCTTGAGCGTGGAGGGAAAGAACAATTGGTAGCAGTTAGAGAAAACAATGACGCACTTGAACACAAAGAAGCAGTTAGCAAAGCTTTACGCAGAGACTGGCCTAAAGATTGGCCAACTTTTGATGGTGAAGGAGAATACAATCACCATGAATTTATTGATTGGGTTGACAGAACATCCAAAACTATGCAAATACCTGATGAACTCATAGTAGCCAAACTAGGCATTGTGTTGCAAGGTGTAGCCCGACAATGGTTCATAGATTTGGCCAAAGACGAAGATCTTCGGACCTGGGCGGAATGGAAAGCAGCCATGCATGAAAGATTTGGTAACCAAGCATGGAAGAACAAAATGCAAAAATTATACATGTCTGACCACTTTATACCACGGTCAAACGTAGACTGTGTTAAGTGGGCAAATAAACAAAAGCAGAGAGTACAGGCTTTCCTGCCTACAGCAACACAAGAGGAAATTGTTGAAAAAGTTATGTGGCAGTTACCAGGTAACATGCGAATTTTTGTCACGAGCAAACTCAGGGAGCCAGCCAGATGGACTGACTTTTTGCTAGCTTTGGAGGACATTTGCAAAACACTGTCCGAAAGAAGGATTACACAAGTGGTAAACAAGGGTAGACCTTTCATTCCACGGACAGCAGAGCCTCCAACCAAC